TCCTCCTCCTCCTCCTCCTCCCCGGTTTCTTCTTCTTCTTCTTCTTCTTCTTCTTCTTCTTCTCCTCCTCCTCCTCCTCAGTTTCTTCTTCTTTTTGCAATGCTCCTTTGTAGCTATCAGCATTGTTTATCTTTTTGTTATCTATCTTAATTCCTGAGTTCTGCCATCCATCTACACAAGCTCGTTACATGTTATACGCTACATTCTTCCGTTCCTCTTGCTTTCAACCTGTCCTGTGAGTATCAAATTTCCCAAGCTCTCTTTCCCTATTACGTGCCCTAGAAATTTCAACTTCGTTGTTGTACACATGTCCTTACCATGATATTCTCATGATCATTATATAGAACCTCATTTCTATTGCTTCAAGTCTTTTATTTATCTATGAAGAGATTGTCCAGCATTCACTGCCATATAAGAGGACTGATATTCCAGTATTCAGTACCCTTTTCTTTGTTTCTAACGAAATTTTCCTGTTTCTTAATACTTTGCTTAGTATTTGGAAGGTACTTTTTGCGAATCCCAATGTATCTTTGGATTTCGATATCGCATTTTCTGTCTTCTGTTAAAACATTTTCTAGATATTAAACGTATTTTACTTACTTGATTTTGACATCGCTAATTTGCTATGAGTATATTGGGTTACGCCTTTTGCTAGCAACCATATAATCTGTCTTCTTACAGTTGCAGTTTAGTCCTTTCTTCTCGCTTTCCTTTGCCACGTTCTGTAATTCTTGTAGCTTCCTTTTTGTGTCTGCTATTAACACTGTGTCATCTTTATATCTAATACTTCAACACTATTTACATTATTCAGATTATTGTCCTCATCGTTGTCGCCATATTTATTACAACGTTTCGGCCGTTGTACGCTCCGGCCTTCTTCGGGTGGTTGGAATGTCGAACTGAACCCTTTATTTCGCTCACTGGAGTAAACTGTTCTAGTTCCACGTGCCATGTTTTAATGGATGTCAGTTATCTCCTGTTAATTCCCCTTCTCCAAGTTCTTCACTGTGAGTTCAATACCCGGTTAAGGCATCAGACTGTCGCCTCTAAGTGTTGACTTCTATGTTCACTTTTATATTTACACATGCTCTATCTCTGATATTGGGCACTTTATCCCATAAATATAGTACACCTTAAGACTATATCTCTTCATTCATATATATATATATATATATATATATATATATGATCGAAATAAAAGTGTAAAACTTAATATTACTAAACATATTAAAAACGGGCGAAGCAACCGGTTTCGCTCCCGCTCTTCAAGCTTCAAAGGGAGATTTAATTTAAAATTAAACACAAAAAAATGTACAATAAAAGGAAGTTGTGGAGAAAAAAATAATAATATATATATATATATGTATATAATGTTTCTAAAGAAGTAATGAATTTTGTTGAGATGTTGAGTGTTTCTCCGTGAGTGTATTGAAATAAGGACAAACACATACGTAGGGAAAAATACTGGTATATCTGAAGAGGTATTTACAACAGAGAGATTAGTAGTCAAACGAACGCAGGTTAGTCAGTAACAATCAGAAAGAGTATAAAGTCCAACTGTATGTTCCGGTAGAGAGACGGAAGTGTGATGGTCACCTGATCTCCCAGAACTCTTTAAAACTGTCCTATTAGTAGTAGAGAGATCAGTCCATTCTGATGAGAAAGCGGGTGGCCCCAACAAATTTTTATATTTATTAATCGAACAGATTGTATTACTTACACGTTATTTTTAGTGGATACCCATATTTGAGATTTGAGTAGACGCTACGCATACAGTATATTTATTTATTTTCGTCTACCCACCTGAATATTCGCGAAAACTAATTAAAGAAAAAGATGCGCTCTCCGCCAGGATTTGAACCTGCGTAATTCAATTTATCATATATATATATATATATATATATATATATGTGTATATATATATGTGTGTGTGTGTGTGTGTGTGTGTGTGTGTGTGTGTGTGTGTGTTAAACCTCTCTGCCACGAAGTGCCTCAAGTAATGTTGAATATGTTTGCTTTATGAACGCAAATTTTTCCTCGACTCTCAAAACATTCATATGTGCTCAGTTTCGTATCCTATATATATATATATATATATGTGTGTGTGTGTGTGTGTGTGTGTGTGTGTGTGTGTGTGTGTGTGTGTGTGTGTGCGCGCGTGTGGATTGCTTAAACAGAGACAGCGTTGACCGCCAGATGCTGCTGTGCACTCGAAGAAGTTGACGTTGTGTATCTAGTCTCATTGGAAGAGCAGTTCGTGTAGATGAGCCTCTCCCGCCAATCCAGACGTTGCCCTCAGACAAACACTGTTCCCACAAGAAGCAGCAACTGTTGAAAAGATTCCGGACTTGGCCAATCGAAAGGGTGTCGTCTTTCATCAGGACAACTACAAATCCCACACCTCTTTGCCGATCCCGCAGACATTGCTCTCCGTACCGACCAGACCGTCCCCTTTCCGATTATCCTTTATTTCGATGCCTACAAACTTCTTGGGAAGAACTTAAAATTCTCTGGGAGCTTGTAAAAACTATTTAGACTATTTCGTCACCCAGAAAGATGTAAAAATCCGGAAGGATGGAAGCATTAAGCTGTCGTAAACATTTCGGAAAGTAGCTGAACAAAATAGCATATATGGATGATTTAATACTATTTTTTAATCGAGTTCACTCCGAGAAAGGAAGTAAAGCCACTGAGACTGGGGTTACTGGGTGTGGAAGAGTTAGAATCAGGAACAATTGCTAGGGAGTGAGAACAGAGAAAGAGTAATCAAGAGGCAGTAGAAACCGTTTCACATTGCATTTAATTTTTTGCAAATGCAAAGTTGACTAGAAAGCATGGAGCCGGAAGGGAGTTCCATAAGCCAGAAAAGAAACTGTTAGCATAGAATTTACGGTTACATCTAGCCAGCTCAACTTTATGTAGTGATTTTCCAAACGCAGTTTAGATATGTCACAAGGCCGAAAGTAGAGGCACCTAGTGAAAATCGAACTCACTAATCAGTCGTAATTGTTCTAGCGAGACAAGCATGCTAACCATTACACCGCGTTGAGGTGGATTCTTTATATGAATGGTGATGTCCATCTCCTCCCTATGCAATATGCAACAGAGTTACACAGTACTTTCCATAACTATTGTATAAATGTAAATAAAATATAGTATTTTCTATTTGCATGCAGACTATTATGTTCGATTTTCTTGTTGTCATCACAACGTTTGGGCCAGTCTCAAAATGGTTTGCAAAATGCAGTTTGTAAGGACTTTTCTATGCCGAGGAATTTCTAATAATGTTTATATACCACGCAAACTTTGTGTAACGGCCACGGAGGATTTAAATCAAATTAAAACAGAAAATTCTGATTCTGTAATTGGTAACTTTCGCTTCATTTGGATATAGAATAAAACAAGAGAAGTCGAAAGGATAATATGTCTTTATTTCGAATCTTTATTTTTTTCATTTTAAACGCTTACTTGTTCTATGGTCTAAGCCACATCAGCAGCAATCAATCAATAAATTAAAACCCACGAGTCCGAAGGTGATTTTCTAAGTGTAGCTTAGGTGTGGCACATGGCCGAAAGTTTAGATCACTCAGTTGTAATTGTCCTAGCTAGACAAGCATTATCCGTTACACCGTCACGAGGTGCCTAACAACTCAACTGTATATTGGTGAGATCTCGTCGCCAGTCTTGTACAGCGTTTAAATTCAAAGACTCTAAGAAACAATACCGAAGAGCGATATTCATTTGTAAATTCTTTACGAAATGTGGCACAAGGCCAAAAATGAGGAATGGGAAAAAGAACGATCTGTCTGAACATTAAACTTAGCTAGCCACAAACACTACAACAATATTCCTTACACCAAAACAATTCATACTTACATTTCTTGCCACATTCACCATAATACCACAAAGTCTCTATGAAAGTTCCAACTAGTCCCCTTAGTACAAATCATTGTCTGTGCGGGGTGGGGAGGGGAATAAAATAAAAATTTAAAAATTCAAATAGTCTAGTAATCATAGCGAAGAGCTTACCATGAAAGTATTTATAGAAAAGGCAGCAGGAAGCAACTTTACGACGATCGGAAAGTGACTGAGACGCCAGATCGGGGTATTTAATAGAATCGAATCTGCACTGGTCAAATTGAACAGAAACAAAGCGGCAGAGCCAGACGGAAATGTAATAGAAATACCAGTAGCCTTAGACGATTGCGACGTAGACAAGATCACAGAAACAATAAATGAAAACTACAACATTGGTGATGTACCTGAAGACCTGAGTAGATCTATTTTCATAACACTGTCTAAGAAGACGGGTGCAAACGAATTCGAACACCATCAGACAACCAGCTTAATGAGCCATATAAAGAACATGATCATCCGAATTCTGATGAATGCGCAGGAGAATCAGACCTGAAAAAGTACAAGAGCAGTGCAGGTTCGGCAAAGACACACGAACAAGGAACACGATATCTATGCACGGAACGTGAGCAAAAGAAAGTATACCTATATTTTATAGATTACGCAAAGGTGTTCGATAAAATATGCCACAAAGATCAGGTAGAGGTTCTCAGTAACTATATTATATTTTGGGGGGACATTAGAATAATTACGAACCTATACTGGCAGAAAACTGCCTGCATACAAATATAAAATGAGATCAGTAGATATACAAAAAAAGAAAGGGGCGTGAGACAAGGATATGTTTCTGGCTGGACTTATTCAAACATATACAGCGAAGCGATTCTCCGAGAACTAGAAGTCCTATCAGGATTCATTATCGGCGGCCACAATCTTAACAAAATAGGGAATGCATATGGCACTGTGTTGATAGCAGACAGAGAAAGAAAGCTACAAAAACTCCTTCATAGTGCACAAAAGCGAGGAGAAAAGATTAAACATCAACTGAAGAAAAGAGAATGCATAGTTGTTACGAAAACCATGAGACCAAAGTGCGAATTGCAACTCGGAGTTGATAAAATCAAACAAATGCTGAAATTTAAGGATCAGAGAACTGATAGATAGAGACATGCTGAAAAAAATAGATAGATAGATAGATAGATAGATATTGAAATAGGACGAAAGCTAGATAGAAACATAATGAAATATATAGATAGATAGATAGATAGATAGATAGATACATACATACATACATACATACAAGCACACATACATACAAACACACCGAAATAGAAAAACAAACATATTGAAATCATATTATAAATATATATATATATATATATATATATATATATATATATATATATATATATATATATATATATATATATATTCAGATTTTGATAAAAGATAGTGAGAAGCATACTGAAATAGACAGCGAGTAAGAAACAAACGGAGATAGATAGATAGATAGATAGATAGATAGATAGATAGAAGATAGATATGAACAGGCTGAGATAGATAGATAGATAGATAGATAGATAGATAGATAGATAGATAGATAGATACTGAAAGAGACAGTGAAAAAGATAGATAGAAAGAAACATACTGAACAAGGAAGTGAGCTAGATAGAAATATAATGAAATACATAGATAAATAGATACATACATACATACAAACACTCCGAAATAATTAGTAAGATAGAAGCATACTGAAATCAGTATATATATATATATATATATATATATATATATATATATATATATATATATACATACAGACATCAGTAGATGAAAGTATACTAAAAGAAATCATGCTAGAAAGAAACATAGATAGATAGCTAGATAGATAGATAGATAGATACGAAAACACTAAGATAGATAAAACCTGAAAAAGATAGCTTACTTTATTTGAACTGTTATCCTCATCGTCATTGCTATATTCACAACGTTTCGGCAGTTGTACGCTCCGGCCTTCTTCAGGTTATTGGAATTTTGAACTGAACCCTTTATTTCGTCCAACGGGGTAAATTGTTCTACATGCCATGCCTCGTTCGGATGTCTCAGTTATTTTCCTTTAACCTAACTCCCCAAGTTTGGTTCACCAATACTGTGGCATGGTATTGAACTCACAACTCCTTGGGTCTAGTCACTGAATCTAACCAATGTTTTTAGCAACTGGGTCGTTTCTTTGAGGACATCGGTGTATGAATTTTTAACACTTATAAACCTAATGTCTCAGAAATCATTTTTTACCACTGTTGCAGTTTTTCTCATATTGCATTTTGCCAGAGCTTTTATTGCAATTTTTTGTTATTCATTGCTTTTCTCTAGCACTCCTTATTACTGGTTCTCATAATGTATTCATTTCTATGTTTGGTCAGCTCAGGAAATTTTTGTGTCCTAGCATATGTGCTGATTCCTTAAATTTTCGTATTTTCCAGTGATGCTCTTTGTTTATTATTTCAATCTCATCCCACAGTGGGCGGAGATCACCCTTTTCCTTCCATATGTGGTCATCTACGCCTGATTTTTCTATTTCCTCTTGTGTTACCGCTCCCTTAACCTAAACTGCAAGAACATTGCAACGGTGGACGAAATAAAGGGTTCGGTTAGAAATTCTAATCACCTGAAGAAGGCTTGAGCGTACAACGGCCGAAACATTGTGAATATGGCAATGAAGATGATGATAAAAATCTGAATAATGTAAGTAATGTAAGTAATCATAATACCTCATCAAAGAGATATAGACATAGATAGATAGATAGATAGATAGATAGATACACAAACACATGCATACAAACGAACTTAGATAGATAGATAGATAGATACATACATACATACATACATACAGACAAACTGAATTAGATAGAAAGAAGCATACTGAAATCGACAGACACTGAAATAAATAGATGCATGCATATCTACATACAGACATTGATAGATAGATAGATAGATACATACATACATACATACATACGCACAAACATACTGAGATAGATAGATATATACATACATACATACATACATACATACATGCACGCATATTGAAATACATACATACATACAAAGACACTAAAATAAATAGATAGAAAGAAACATAGTAAAATCCGTAGATAGATACATACATACACACATAGATAAATAGGTTTGGTTTATTTTGTTTTACGGCATATCAACCTCAAAGGGTTATTTAATGCTGATAAAATTTGTTATTGCTGTTAATATTTTGCTTTTTCAAAAATCTGTTTCTGGTAATACTTTTCCTTCCGAATTGTATTGCTGGTAATAATTTTTTTTCAAAAAAGTATTGCTGATAATAGTTAACTATTTGCCCATAGCTGGGATCCTAACAGGTGCTACCACCCTGGGTCAGGGTGGACCTGGGAACACCAGCAATTAAGAGGTGGTTCCACGCACCTCAAAAGCTCCTGATCAGAAGCCTTTTGCTGCTGGATGTAGTTTAACGTCTTACTCGGGACGACATAGATAAATAGAAACATATTGAAATAGGTAGACAGCTACAAACACTGAAATAGATAGATAGATAGATAGATAGATAGATAGATAGATAGATAGATAGATAGATACATGCACGCATATTGAAATAGATAGATGCGTGCATACATACACACACATACAAACTGAAATAGATAGAAATATACTGAAATAGATAGATAGATAGATAGATAGATAGATAGATAGATAGATACATACATACATACATACATACATATATACATATAGACATATAGATAGAAATATACTGAAATCGACAGATTGATATACAGATAGATAATGCATACATAAATATATACATGCATAGATATATAGATATAAATATACTGAGATAGATAGATAGATAGATAGATACTGAAATAGATAGATAGATAGATAGATAGATAGATAGATATGAATAGAATGAATTAAAACAGACACAGATAGATAGAGTGACAGAGGCGTAATACATTTTAAGGTATATCCTAATGCCTGCGGTTAAAATAACTAATGCTTTTGATTTCTTTTTAGGGATAGCCTTTTTATAGTCTAATCTTTATTCCATTCTGACATTGACACACAAATAAACTGTCGTATCAACTCATTCAGTCCTGCACTTTTATCTCGTACTCGAAGAAGAACTGGCGGTGTTTCACATTCGCGCTTTTCAGACTTTTGCGCTGCAGCCACTAAATATAGACATGTTGGAAAGGTTTCACCAAATCCTGATTCAAAGCCCATTAGACAAACTATTAAAATTCCGTTTGTTTTTATTGGCCTTTTAGTTGAGGCCATTGCTTGAGAGCTTCGCTGTCTGCCCACAGTTCTACACGTCGCGTAAAAAATACCCTCCAAAACAGCTGCCAAGCGAGAAGGGGCCCCATAAAACAAAACAAAGCACGTATAATGTAGCAGCGCAGTGGGTCACCTACAGACATTGGATTGGTATGTCGGTGAAGGGTGCAACTTTTACTCATCTTTCTTCGTTCTTGAACTGACTTGCAAGCAATCTACTTATCCCAGTCTGTTTCTGTCTATTAACCTATCTCAGTCGTTTCCTTTCTTACTTCCTTACTTTCGTTCTTTTTATCTATCTATCTATCTATCTATCTATCTATCTATCTATATTCTTCTTTTCTTTCTTTTTTCTTTCCTTTTTTTTTTCGTTCTTTCTTTTTTCGTTCTTTCTTTCTTTATCATCCTGATATCTGCCAGTCTGTATCATACTTTTTTCACTCAAATCATCAGTCTTTCTCAGTCACTTTCATATTTCTTTATTCTATCTGTGTATCTATCTATTTATCTTCGTCTCTTTGATTTTTGTTCCTTCCTTTCTTCGTTCCTTTAGTTCTATCTATCTATCTATCTATCTATCTATCTATCTATCTATCTATCTATCTATCTATCTTCTTTTGGCTATTTATCTTTGTTTGTCTTTTATCTATCTATCTATCTATCTATCTATCTATCTATCTATCTATCTATCTATCTCATTTTCTGTCTCATTTTTGTCTGTATATCTATTTATCTCTATCTCTTTCCTTTTCTTTCTCTCTCTCTATATATATATATATAGACGCATACACATATACACATACATATATATATATATATATATATATATATATATATATATATATATATATATACGTGTGTGTGTGTGTGTATAACAAGAGTCTGTTGTTGTGCGTGTTATTTTTATTCAAAGAGGCTAATCAAGTAGTTGAAAAGATCGTGGAAGAATTTTTAAGCAAGCCTCAGAAAAATACACTGTGATAACATTTTTAAAATGCTGGTCAATGAAAAATCAGATGAGAAGAAAGAAAGAAAGAAAGAAAGAAAGAAAGAAAGAAAGAAAGAAATGAAACGAAAAAGAAAAAAGAAAGAAAGAATAATGAAAAAGTTGTAAGAAACAAAGAAAGAAAGAAAGAAAGGACAATGAAAAACATTATAAGAAAGAAAGAAACGAAACTAAACGAAAAAGGAAGAAAGAAAGGACTATGAAAAAATTGTAAGAAAGAAAGGAAGAAAGAAACGAAAAAGAAAGAAACGAATAAGAAAGAAAGAAAGGACAATGAAAATATTGTAAGAAAGAAAGAAAGAATGAAAGAAAGAAATGAAAACATAAAATACTGTAAGAAAGAAAATAGAATAAAAATTATTGCAAGAAAGACAGATAAAATGAAAGAAAGAAAGACACAAAACTTCAGAAAACTTCCACTAAATGTTGGAGAAGAAAAAGTGTTGGCGGTTAGCCTCGTGACTGGAAAAATTAACCAATTTTCCAACCGTCTGTGTCAAAGGTCACTTTTTAAACATTGAAAAAAGAAATCCAGATTTCAAATAACAATGTTCGAAGCAGGCAACTCTTTCTCATTTGGATGGATGGCGCAACACAATCTTCCAACTTCCATTATCAAAAGCTTAATAAATAGGACAGATAGAAATACGAAGCAAAGTTGTTCAACATTTATTTACTGATGAAAAAGCAGAATAAATGCTGTTTAACGGCCAATGAAATAAAGAAAATATATCTGATAATCTAGACAAACATGCTGTATGAATTGCAGAACTTAGTTTTGTACGCATGCTCAGTAAACAACGAACAGGTGCGCAGACTTGAAGCCAAACAGAGCGAATAGACTTTATTTTCTGCAACCAGTAAAGATACCAGCATTACGAATGCATTTAGAGCCAAAATAGAGAGCTGTCCAAAAATATGATATAACAAAATATAAAGCAAATGTTGTCAAATTATATACTTCGTAAAATAATTAAAATACCTAATTATTTTTTTTTATTTATATTGTTTACACTCGGACTGTTGTCGTCATCTTTGTTGTCATTATCATATCGTTTCAGCAGTTGTACACGTCGAACTTCATCAGTTGGATGTCAATCCGAGTAATCGTCAAGGAACTGCCAACTGAACACTTTATTTAATCTATGGGGGTAGGTTGTTTTCATTCCACTGATCATGCCTAGGGATTTTTTTTTGTCCAGTTCTTATTTATACTGCCAGTTTATTGCTCATCCTGTTTCCACCGAGTCTATATCTGCACTACCCGAAGGAAACGAGTTGTTAACGGAAGTAATTTTAAAAGTATTTGTATAGTTATGCATATATGCGTAAAACGTTTGCACGCAGGCATTAACGTATTTGTGAATTATGAACGTAATGAATAAATTTCTAATAAAAAAACAAATAACAGACGTATTGAACTGAAGTTACTGTCAGATCCTCAGCTAACTAGGTTCACCACAGCCAGAATGATTTTCATGAAGATGTGCAGAAACAATAAAAATTGATTTTATGCTAAGTTAATAAGAGCACAGTAACATGTATATTAATATTGTGCCTCAAATTTTGACAATTGTTATTAACGACCGAGAATATATTCTGGCCAAATTGACAAGAATATGGAGGAGCAAAATCAGCTTTCAAACAAAATACAGACTGCACAAATCGCTAGAAGTTTCCATTTTCCTATATGGATGTGAAACGTGGACACTGTTGGCAGAAACAGAGAGAAGGATCCAAGCGTTTGAGGACAAATGCATGAGGAAACTCCTTGGCATTATCAAGAAAAAAAAACAATGAAACAGGGTGGAAAGGTTTGAAAGTTTCGTAGGACACGAGGAACCTGTCAAACGAAGAAAAATGTCGTAGTTTGGACACCTTACAAGACACGGCAGCCTGTGCAAGATCATCATGCAAGGCATCGTTGAAGGTGGACGTAGGAGAGAACGCCAATGCAGAAACTGGTTGGAGAATGTTAAAAATGGACAGGTATGACTATACCAGAATTGTTAATGGCTGCAGTTAATAGACCGTTGTGGAAAAGATTTAGTGTGGCAGCTATACTGCAAATATAAGTTCATAACATCTACGTTGTTTCCATCTGAAAATAAAGAAGACTGTTCGTCATTAGCATAAACACCCAGCCAGATGAACGACAATCATCGGTGGAGTACAACAGATGATATTAATGTAACAATTTGCAAAAGTATGCCTAGCTCAGTGATGAAGGATAAAACTAATGGCTGCAAAATCTGAAAACGGTTTCTTTATATCAAATTAGTGGCTCCTTCTTATTTTATATGTTTAAGTCCCTTTAGGATTATGGCTCTCCATAACTTCCTATCATTTGTTGCTGTTAGTAATTCTTCGTTCATTCTTCGTTATTATTCTCCATTCATTTCCTTGTTAATATTTCCATCAAAAGAGAGAAGCATCCAAGTGTTTGGGAAAACGCCTTGATATTTTCTATTGGGAACAAGAAACCAATGAGTTTGGGCGGAAAAGGGTTGAAAGTTTTGTAGGACACGAGGAACCTCATCTCGACACTGTCAAACGAAGAAAATGGCACGACAGCCTGTGCAAGACCATCATGCAAAGCATCGTTGAAGATGGACTTAGGAGGATGTTTTTTTGCAACATGTATTTATAAATTATATATATATATATATATATATATATATATATATATATATATATATATATATATATATATAGAGAGAGAGAGAGAGAGAGAGAGAGGAGCTTATTTTCTGTAAAAACAAAAGGAAAAAACGGAATAGCTTTTTTGAAACGGAAAATTGCGATTTTGAAATGAAAATTCTTTTTTCTGACAATCAGTTTTGCCAACTTCTATGTTTATTAGTTATTGTGTTTGCTTTTTCCTAACTCACCCCAACAGACATCAAAGTGTAAATTCGGTAATGTTTTAATGCATACTGCTTACCTACTGTCTCCCTACAGTTTTATAAATAAAGTTTACAGCATTTAATTTCACCCTGTAAACTGAAAATATATATAGACGAATGGCACATGAGATCATAAAATAGAATAAACTGGTTACTTTCACATTGAGTTTATTTGAGGTAAATGGAATGCAAAAAGGGAGAATACTCTCATTATTGGCCTTACATAGAAACTTTTTAATTGTGCTTCCAGTTTTATTTGACTAAAATATTTACAAAGTCATTTTTTATTTTGTCTCTAATATATGGAAAGAAACATAAAATGAATATTCAAACATTTTTAGGTATCTCCAATAATGATGAAAAAAGGCCTCAAACTTAATAAAAACGAAGTTTTATCTTCAAAATATCCATGCTATTATTAAGAGGAAAGACCAAAGTATTTTTTGGTGATTTTATTGAAATTTTTTCTTACTTTTTCTAGCACGTTCGAAATTTTGGTTAAAAATCTTTTTTCAACGTCAGCGAGTCACGCAATATTTACCATTAGTTTTTTGACGCCATATTTTTTAGGTGAAGACACATTAATTTGGAAATTCTTGCAAAAATCAAATAATTGTTGAATTTTAATAAAATTTTTGGAAGTTATTCACAAATGAATGAAAATATTTTTTTTGGTTTTTAGAAAGTCGTGGTAAAATTTTTTTTTTACATCTGTTACCCACCTTTACTTAATTTTATGAAACCTCGAGAAATTCGACGTTGTGC